AGTCTTTGCAGCACTGGCTGATGGTTTATTGAAAGTTCCGTCGGTATTTTCGTCGTTACATTCCTGGTTATCATCACGATTTTGTAAACCGAATGATTCGATGAGAATATTCAACGGAATTCTAGTTGGTTCACAGGATGGTAATGTTTCAAGTTGCTCACTTCGTGAACGGAGTTGATTTGCATGTGATCTTATGAGGTTACCTCCTCTACTTGTTTCAAGAAGGACATTATACATCACGTTGCCAATCTTCTCAATAATTTCTCCAGGAGACCAGTGGTATGTGTTGTTTCTGTAAACTTTGGCGTAGACTAAATCTTTTGCTGAATATTCCCTGAATCTCACACCATGTTTTTGATTAAATTGGAGATCTTGTTTCTTCCTAGTACCATCACAAATATCTTGCTTGCACCGAGGTGGTTTGATCAGATCTAAAGTGGTGCGCACTGGATGTCCTAGTAGAAGCTCAGCTGGCGATCTTCCATATGGTGCACTTCTATTCGGGGTGGAACGATACGTTGACAGGAACAGTGTCAGCTGCTCTCCTATATCTTCCCCCTGAATTTTCTTGATTCCTCTCTTGAATGTATCTACGAAGCGTTCCACTTGCCCATTAGACATAGGATGATACGGGGCCGTCCGTAAATGCTGAATTCCATTTGAAACGCAGAATTTTTGAAATTGTTCTGAGGTGAACTGAGTCCCATTGTCCGATACCAAGAATTCTGGTATTCCGAAACGGGCAAAGGATTCTCTCAGAGCATTGATTGTGTTACGGGAAGTTGCTGAACTCATTCGTGAAATTTCAGGCCATTTTGAAAATGCGTCGATGAGAATGAAGAATACCTCACCATTCATTGGACCTGCGAAATCGATGTGCAATCTTTCCCACGGTTTCTCTGGTATTGACCATGATGATAAAGGTACTTTAATTGGAGATTTCGCAGTGAGTGAGCAATTTCTGCATTTTCTGACATAGTCTTCAATCTGCTTATCTATCCCTGGCCAGTATACGAAGCATCTAGCTATAGATTTCATTCTTTCCATTCCCGGGTGACCTTTATGAAGTTGCTTCAGTACCTTTTCATGGAAACGTTCTGGAACAATCACTCTTTCCATAAACATCAGACAGTCTTGTATTATAGAAAGAGAATCTTTCCTGGCATGAAAGGGTTTCACATTCTCGGGAACATCTCTTGAGTTTTCTGGCCAACCAATATTCATGAATTGGATGACCGATTGTAGGTCTGCATCTTTTCCTGTTTCTTCTCGGATCATTTTGTACGTAATGGGGATTGATTCCATAGAAATATTGAAAATTTGTTCAATTTCATCTTCTAGTTTTATACAAGCGATAACAAAATCTTCCTCAGGTTTATCATGTGAATTGATGAGTCTAGACAAAACATCTGCATGTCCAAACTCTGACGTCTTGACATATTCGATTTTGAAGTCGTAAGCCAACAAGGTGAGAGCCCATCGTTGCAAACGATTTGCTGAATAGACTGGGATTCCTTTTCTTGAACCGAATATGGTAAGAAGTGGTTTATGGTCACTCTGTAGAATGAAGCTTCTTCCAAAAACCATTTTATGGAATTTCGTGACCGCAAATATAATGGCTAAAGCTTCTTTCTCTATCTGGCTGTAGTTTTTCTCTGCAGTTGTGATGGTTCTGGATGCGTGACTGACTGCTTTCATTCTTCCATCAGGATACTTATGCAATATGCATGCTCCGACGCCTGAGTTTGAAGCATCTGCAGCTACTACAATTTGCAGATTCGGATTGTAGTGACACAAAAGGAGTTCTGACTGTAGAATTCTCTTGAATTCATGAAATGCTTTCTCGCATTCTGTTGACCATATGAACGATACGTCTTTTTTGAGTAGAGCATCTAATGGTTGACGGAGTTTATGCATTTGATGAACAAACTTTCCATAATAATTTATTGCACCCAAGAATGATCTGAGGGTGGAAATATCTGTTGGTCTTGGCATGTTTACTATCACTTTCACTTTCTCTGGATCAGGTGAGAGGCCTTTGTCGTTGATAACATATCCCAGGTATTTTATTTCATTGGTGAAGAAATTGCATTTCTCTAATCTAAGATGGAAACCATATTCTTGAATTCTGTTGATGAGACGGAAAAGATTCTCAAGATGATCTTGTTTATTTTCACCACCAACAACAATGTCGTCTAAGTAGGCATATACTTTTGGCAAGTCAGCAATCATGGTGTCCATGATTTGTTGAAAAGCACCCACTGCGGATTTTACACCCATTGCTAGACGATGAAAATTAAATAAGCCTTTGTGAGTGTTGATGGTCAAGATTTTGCTAGATTGTTCATCGACAGGAACTTGGAAATATGCATCCGATAAGTCAATCTGGCTGAAGAGTGCACAGTTGGCCATTTTTGAGAAAATTTCTTCTGGCAGAGGAAGTGGGTGACGGTTTAGTTCCAGGATATCATTCAGTCCAGTTGAATAATCTGCACAAATTCTGATTGAATTATTTTTCTTCCTTACAACCACTATTGGAGCCGCCCATTCGGAGTAATCTGTATGAGAAATTATGCCTTCTGCTTCAAGTCTTGCCAATTCTTCTTCAACTTGTGGTAAAACTGCATATGCTACAGGTCTTCTATTGCGGAAAACTGGTTGAGCGTTGGGTTTCAGGACCAAGGATACTGTGGTCTTCACACAACATCCCATTTTGCCATCGAAAACTTCTGGAAACTCACGTTTCAGATCGTCTTTCTTGATTTCCATTGCAGATGAAGAAATATGGCTACAGAAAGTAGTGATTGGCTTACTCCAAAGATTGAAAGCGTCTATCCAATCGATACCTATGATATTGAGATTGGGCTGGACTACAAAACATTTGAGGTTGTTGACTTTTTCACCTCCGATGTTGACTGAACAAGAAAATTCCTTGGTTAGGTTGATGATATCACCTGATGCATCTTTTGCTAAATGATCAGATTCGATGTATTTTGGTTTTCCTATATGGATCCATGACTCTTCTGAAATGATCGTTATATCACTACCTGTGTCCAACTGTAGTTTGACGTATTTTCCATTGATTCTGGTATCAACGAATTTTCTCTTGCACGTAGCATTGACTTGATTAACACTTGAAAGAGTATTCACCTGATGATGACCCCTCTGCTTGGATCTATATGATGATTTATTGCGAACATCGCAGTAACCTTCTTTGTGACCTACTTTATCACACTGCTTGCATTTGTGTTTCTTGAAAGAACAAAACTGTGCATAATGTAGCTGACCACAAAACCAGCAAGGTGTTTTTGGGACACTTGAGTTTTTCTTATGTGTTGACAGCGGCTGTGACTTATTGTGATGACTTACTGCATTGACAGCTGTGAAATTTTGATTTTCCACCATGGCAGTATCTTGTTTGAGATTGATCATCCGTTGGCATTCAACTGCTAGGTCATCAATAGTAATGTTGCCATCTGCTTTTGCATCAATCATAGCTAACATTTTCGTTCTTATATCTGCATCTTTTGGAGATCTCAGACCACAAACGAATATGAGACACTTGAATGTATCTGCTGTGATAGTGTTGATCTTGAACTCTTCACATTGCTTGTTGATGTTGGCTGTATATGCAACAAAATCTTGAGAAGCTGATTTTGTCATATTCATACAATTATAGCGAGTGTTGAAAAGTGAAATCTTACGTCCGAACATTTTCTTCAGCTTTTCCACTGTTGCAGAAAAGTTGAAATCTTTCGGTTCCTTCGGTAGAATATAATCAACGTACTGTTTATGAGAACTGGTGTTCAATTTACGTAGAAGGAGCCTAACCTTCGCTGCTTCATCGAGTTCTTTGGCATCAACCATGAAAAGGCCTTCATATCGAACATACCATGCTTCAAATGTTGAACCACTATCAGGATCATAAACGAATTCTGTGATTGCACTCGCCAGTGACTCCATGCGTACCTCACTATTATCATTAACTTTTGAAAATGATTGGGCTAGCTGATCCAGAAGTCTTTGCTGCTGGTCAAGAAAAATATGTTGCTGAGTCTTCATGACTTCGAGTATTGCTGTTTTGAATTCTTCCATTACCTCGTCGCCAAAACTGTTACGTCTTCAATGGATAAAAATGATATTTTATATTTCTGAAGACAGTGATTGACAAGTTATTTTATTTATTAAACAATTGACAATGACATCATGTACCACTAAAATAATGATTACTGAATCTACGGAGTTGATACAGGATGTATGATTGATCTGCCAATAGATTCAAAGAGCATCTCAATCTTAAAATGTGAGTATTGCCGAAGAAAAAACACATGATTTTATCGAAAACATATATTCATAAAAAGAAGTAAGTAGTAGGACTCAACAATCAAAATCACAGCCAATATAACTCCCAACTTCGACACAATATTTGACCACAGATCGCTAGTAGGTATCTTGGCTCAGCAAATTAGGTTTGCCTATCACCACCAGCAGGCTTTTGGCTCTGGAAATTGCCACGTTGAGCCTTTTGGGGCTTTTTGTGCGTGATGTCGACAGGAAAGGAAAATTTCAGATGCTCCACCTTTTTTTTGGAATATATTTTTTCAATCCTTCTAGAACATCCTTACTGACTTTTTTCAATATTCCCGTTGAAAACAATGATTAAATGAATGAAGCATGGGATATATTAGACAAACAAGTAAGTTTATATGAGTCCGATTCAAAGAACATCTCAATCTCAAAATGTGAGTATTGCCGAAAAAAAAACACATGATTGTATCAAAAACATATATTCATAAAAAGAAGTAAGTAGTAGGACTCAACAATCAAAATCACAGCCAAGATAACTCCCAACTTCGACACAATATTTGACCACAGATCGCCAGTAGGTGTCTTGAAGCATGAGATATATTGGACAAACAAGAAAGTTTATATGAGTCCGATTCAAAGAACATCTCAATCTTAAAATGTGAGTATTGCCGAAAAAAAAACATGATTTTATCAAAAACATATATTCATAAAAATAAGTAAGTAGTAAGACTCAACAATCAAAATCACAGCCAATATAACTCCCAACTTCGACACAATATTTGACCACAGATCGCCAGTAGGTATCTTGACACAGCAAATTAGGGTTGCCTATCACCACCAGCAGGCTTTTGGCTCTGGAAATTGCCACGTTGAGCCTTTTGGGGCTGGCCACGAAGCCCAGGCTGTGCGTGATGTCGGCAGGAACGTGTTCCTCGCAGGATCGCACAGTAGACAGCAGGACGACCTCGAATTCCTGGCCTTGAAATTCTTCGACGGTGCCGATTTTCGGCTGGTCGAATTCCGCTTCTTGGAACATGGAGCGGATTTCCTTCACCTGAGGAATTATTTGGATATCAAATATTTGCACTAGCCTTGATTATTATATACACTAACAAAATGACAGCAATGAAGCCAGAAACTCTATTGAGTAGGTCGCGGTATCTATGAGCGACAAGGTAAACTACTTTTTGTTGAGTACCGAAGGGTAGAGATCGGTAATGCAGAATATATTGGAAGTTTATTCTGAGAAGTTTTTATGCAAGTAGGAATGTGGCATCAGGGCCAGATTAATATAAAATATGTTTATAATTCAAAAATAAGGATATCAAAGTTGATGATTTTCCTGCTTCAGAGAGAAGGATATTCCTAGATCGTTCATCAACTTGCAGATAGAGGAACTCAAGCAGATTCCGAGAGTACAGACTAATGCCCTCCGCACACGGGTCGATCGGCGACATGGGCGACGCGATTGCAATGACGTCACAATTTCTGCATTCGTACGATTCAAGAGACGGGAGTGTGTGTCATTCGCATATGGGTCGACGTTTTGTGTAGTCGACTCGCGTCTGATCAACTTAGTTACTCTATTTTTTGCTACTTCAAAAAGAAATGTTTCGCTAAAAATGAGCAGTTCCAATGGCGAGGAGGACATATTCATATTTTTGTGGCACCGGCAGATCAGGAGAAGAAGAAGACAACGAAGATTATGGGTGCATTGCACCAAATTTTCACACTCGACTTTTGTTACTGCAAGTGAAATGCAAGAGAGTGACACAAAATTTCTGGCATTTTATAGAATGTCGAAGGAATCATATATTGATTTAGTGGAAACTCTTGCTCCAGCCATAAATTATATGGATTCAAATATGAGTAAATGTGTCAGCGCAGAAGAACACATACTAATAACATTGATGTAAGATTCATATATTTCAAAAAATCGAACAGTTCCTAGAGTTGAGAGTATAAATTGAAAACATAAGATTATATGTTCTAGTTACTGAAAGTAAAGAACTAAGGTAGGTAACACAAATATTCACAATGATTGAAAAATTATTGAACAACTTTCTCCATTGAGACGTAAGATTCACTCGATCAAACTGCTTCCTTGCTAATCGCGTGAGACTGAAAACGAGAAGATCTTAAATCGTACGTTTCTAGACGACCACTAAACGACCCGTGTGCGGGATCCAGATGCTTTGCTTAGGAAGTCGAGTAGTGGGGAGACCGTCGTACGATTCGAATCGCGTCGCCCATGTCGCCGATCGACCCGTGTGCGGAGGGCCTAATAGTTGCGCTACAACAGCCAAAAACTAAGACCAAATTTGGCTTTAACATTCCACATGAAGGTGAATAATCTTGTTCCTGTGAATAATTAAGAGTACTATGTAGTACTTTGAGCCACCTCCACAACTTCTCTGTTATCAACTTCGGTTAAATTTTTTGGATGTTTAATAAATTGACACTCATCATACGTGGAAAGAATTTCTTCATTGAGTTATATTTTTATATCATAATACATCATATTATTCTATTCGATTTGAGAGATAATGACCATTCTCAATTCCAGAGGATTTTGATTTTTCATGCTCTTTTTTTGGATATTCAACTGTTGTAATTCAATGTTCGACGTGGCAAATAGCCAGGAAAGTAGTTGTTTTCTGTTGAATATTCAGAATGAATATGCATATCTTTATATGAAGGAGAACGCAAATTCTCTACTTCAGAGATTTTGTTTTCAAATTCTTATCGTGTGTTCAGTAGATGCGTAATTCAATATTCGTCGTGGCATATAGCCAGGAGAGTAATTGTTTTCTGTTGAATAAACCGAGAAAGAATTATTATTTTCATCACATGGAGAATGCGAATTCTCAATGTATTTCTTTATTTATATATCCATTTTTTCGTGTTCATAAATATATCTGAGAATAGTCCTTTTCAATTCGATTAAATTGTCAGAAAAAAAGTGGATCACTCGAATTTCTGACTGTTTTTTATGTTTTCGTGATTATTTTCAATCTAAATGCTGGTTGCACTTTTCCTGTTCAAGATTCATCTATACTTATATTATAAAGAGGAACGATTCGATCATTTGTTTGTTTGTTTGTATTTATTGAATAGGCTCCGAAACTACAGGATCGATCTGGCTGAAAATTGGTGAGGAGGTAGCTTAGACCCAGGAGAAGGTTATAGATACCATTAGAAAATTCAAGATGGCGGATCTAATATATCGGACGAGTTTTGTAATTATGGTCCGATTCTATTCCGAAATTGGTATCGGGGAGATTTCGTCAGAATTTGACAATTTGGGCGGAATTTGGAAATTCAAGATGGCGGAACCAATATGGCGAACGAGTTTTGTAATTATGATCCGATTCTTTTCAAAATTGGTACCTAGGGGTTTTCGTGATCGGGGATTATGATTCCTTCGTCAAAATCAAGCAATTCGAGATGCCGGATCCAAAATAGCGGATTTTGTAGTTAGGATTCGATTTTATTCAAATTTGGTATCTGGTGGTTCTCGGGGTCGGAGATTATGATTCTTTCGTCAAAATTAGGAAATTCAAGATGGCGGACCCAATATGGCGAACGAGTATTGTAATTATGATCCGACTCTCTTCAAAATTGTTACCTGGGTGTTTTCGGGGTCGGAGATTATGATTCTTTTGTCAAAATTTGGAAAGGGCGGGAAATTCAAGATGGTAGATCCAATATTGCGGACGAGTTTTGTAATTATGTTCAGATTCTATTCAAAACTTTCATCTGGAGGTTTAGGAGTCGGATATTGTGATTCTTTCGTCAAAATTGGGAAATTCAAGTGAACTAAAAAGAAGTTGAAATAAATGGTAGTTTGAAAAACTAAAGAAACGCGCTTTTATAGATCGCGAAACTGAAAAGAAGTAGGAAATAAAATAATAACAGTGTCTTGATGAATATGGAACTGAAAAAATATATTATAAAAATAATGTATTTAGCAAAACAACGTTTGCGAGGTCTGCTAGTTGCCCATAACTTGATATTGTGTAACTTATGATGATACAATGAGTGTTCAAAAAAAGTGTTACAAGAATCGTAGCATATTTGAAAAGATAACAAATTTCAAACCTGTTTTATGTACGGGGTGATGATCCCGACATTGTCAGCGCGGAGGCCTAATCGATAGAATTCGTTGGTGTAGTAGAAAACTTGGGCAGCCTCGTCAGGATTATACCAAGACGGTGAATCTGAAGTTTGATAATTTTCACCATCAACACCGTGAAAGATGATTCGCGGAAATTTATTTCCGTTTATTTTCGGTAAAATCTCACCGAGTGCTTCCACGATTTTCGCCTCATCACTGGTTTGATCATCAATCTGTCAAAAAAAATCAATTAGTAACTGATATACAGGGTGGAGCAATAGTGCGTCAGAATCCAGAAATATCACACATCCATCTATTGAATGGTTTCAATAATGATTCGTTTCAATATTATGACGTGAGAGATTTTCTAGTACCTTTGCATCTGCAAATGAAATGATTTTGCTAAAAAAAATTACAACTTCCAAATGATTGATACATAGTCAATAAATAATATTGGAAGGATGGTTGTATTTGAGGCTCACTCTGTATAAGCAATAATTTCTCGTTATAAACCCTGTTGTCTAGTTTACGAATGATTGGTAGTCTGACGTACTATTGCTCCACCCTGTATATTGTATTTGCTGGACAATTTCTTCAGCTAACATTTAAAGTATATTTCATATTTCTTTTGGATTTCAAGTTCTCGATATCAGATATTATATTATTCTATAGCCAACGTTCCAGTATTTCATTGTTTCATCATCAGGGCAATGAATAGTAGTTCACCTAACAAGGGCACTACGCACGTGTTAGGTAAACTATTTTAGTGCTGAAAGTTTTTCCCGCACTAGTACAGAAAAGTGGACTTTTCCACTTTTTCGCACGCTAGTAGAAAAAATTATTTTGAATATGATGAAGTCATTAGAATTAAGCGAAAGTAACATAAAACGATAATTAGACTACAGTTTATAATAGATTCCCTTTGTGAATATAAAATGTTCTATTTGTAGTAATTGGGCAATTGGGCATCCAAACAGAAAATTTCTTATGATTTGTATATGGTTTTAGTGAAGATCTGTTGTTCCTACATTGTCGGCCTACTTTGCTTTTATCCCTGCCAATTTTAATAACTCCTACTATAAACCCATTTTTATCGCCCTGATGATGACACAATGAACTTCCGAAACTTCGGGTACCAGAGAACATGATGATAGGAACTCTAGTGATAGCTAACCATCGGAATGAGTTCGTTGTTGTAAAACAGCAGGTTGTACAGATTGAGGATGTCGGGTAGCGAGCGATAGTTATACAAGAGCTTCGTGACCAGCCTCGGGTCGTATCCGTTGGTGTCGGGGAATCCCTCGGGATCCGGGACGTACGGAAAACGGTGTATCACTCGCTCCAGATAGGATTCGTCCAGTCCGCATTGGGCAGCCACCTTGCACAGTACCACCGGGCCCAGCTGCATGGGATCACCTTAGAAATATCATACAGGGTTTTTTCTTATATTTTCTTGATTCCTTTTTGTTGGGTAGGTAAAATTCTTGGGCCTCGAATGGGAAGTTTCCTATATTGAGGTTTTTATCTCATTGTGTAAGTAAGTAAAAATTAATATACAGTGTCATTCATAAAGTCGGCATCATATGGGAAAAACTTTTATTAATGACTTATTTTGGAATTCGAGTTGGACGTTGAGTTTTGCTTCAAAAAGATGAAAAATGGCCTACTCAATCGGGGTCACGTGACTTTAGCTACATGTCAAAAGTGACATTTTTTCAAATTAATCGCTGAAAGTAGGCTTATTTGTTCGAATATCGAAAAAGTTTACTTGAAAAAGTTGTTTCTATTTTAATTTCTCACATGCTTCTCGAATTTGATATTTCTATTGCAACTTTTAGATTTTGATTTTTTTTTAATTTTTCGAAATTTATGTAATAGGTATTTCAAGAATTGTTAATTCGACGAAACTACTTCATACTAGTAGCTTTTTCATGCTACTTACTTTCAATTACTTATTATCACTGATTATGGACAGAAATATGGTTTTCTTCAGAAAATTATAATACCCGCTTCCAAATTCTGTTACGTTTGATGCAAAGTTGATATATCGTCAAGCATTAGAAACGAAATTCATTTAAACTGATCTTTACAGTTCTGAAAATATAAATTTAAATGAATTTCGTTTCTAAATGCTTGACTCAAACATAACAGAATTTTGATGTTATGTTTGCACAAACATAACAGAATTTTGAAGCGGAGATTATCATTTTCTGAAGAAAATCGTATTTTTGTCGATAATTAGTGATAATTAGTAATTGAGAGATAGTAACATGATGATGCTACTGGTATGAAGTAGTTTTATCGAATTTACAATTTTTTTGATATTACAGAAATTTCGAATTTTTTTAAAAAATATCGAAATCTAAAGAATGTAATAGAAAGATAAAATCCGAGTCACATATGTGAAATTTAAATAGAAACAACTTTTTCAAGTAAACTTTTTCGATATTCGAACAAATAAGCCTACTTTCAGCGATTAATTTGAAAAACTGTCACTTTTGACATGTAGCGAAAGTCACGTGACCCCGATTGAGTAGGCCATTTTTCATATTATTTAAATCAAAACTTAACGTCCAAGTCGAATTCCAAAATAAGTCATAATTAAAAGTTTTCCCCATATGATGCCGACTTTATGAATGACACTGTATACGTTTTTTTTTTCAATTTCACTTCAGAAAAAAATAAATGAAAAAGGAAGTTGGCTCCTCCACCATTTCTATGACGTACTTTCTGAAAATCCACATTCACACAGAGTTAAAATACGATTTCCTGTACCAGTACGACGTTGCCGACATCATCGATGTGTCTAGATTTCCGGAAATTGTTCTTTGAATGCATAATTACTGTATCATAACAGCAACGGGATATAATAGGTTCTTCAATCCTACTTTATCAAGTATTATGAATGATTCCCATAAATCTCTCATTGACTGAATGAAGTTGATTACTAATAATGATAAATTATGATATTTTGCAATAGTCTCTATAATGTTTCACTATCGTTATATTACAATATGTTATTCATAACTTGTCAGTAATTTTTTTGCTAATGAATTCGTTCCGTACTAAAACCTATTTTCTAGGAAAGTTGCAGATTATATCTTGCAACAGCGCCTAATAGCTCGAGTCTGTCCACACCACTCAAAATACTGACAGGCACAACAAGAGGAAGGAGCCATGGCTTCATTCTGTTCTGACCGACAACAGTAAATTCGGAAGGATAGTACCATTGAATGTAGCCGATAGTGATTCATTGATTCAATGATATTTTCGTTTAGGATCGAGCTCTATTCGAGATATTTAAATGCATAAATAACAAAGCCATAACCTGTCTGAATGAAGCCAACTACCCTCTGCATTCCTGCTCCGAGAGCTGTGGTTATGTATGTTTTTGTCAGCTATTTTCAGACGAGATTCAGAATGTACGTCACAGTTTGCCTCCACGAAAATTAGAAATTGCTTTAATTTGAAAATGAAAACGACTTGGCCTTTATCGGTTGCCATTCTGTACAGCGTGGACATACAACTGGAGACTTCCGAACATATTTTATGAAAACTCATCTGAAGGAAACTTCCCCATTCTCAGTGAAGAATTCCTTATTTAGTGCGAAATGTTTCGCCTATGGACATGAGCTCCTTGCTTTTTTCAATCATTTTATTATTCACAAGTTTTTATCCGCGGCTTCGCTCGCGTGGAGTCATCAAATGAATATCAAAGATCATTACATTCCAATAGAACTGAATTGATGTGATTCAGTATTTGAAAATTATTACAGTTTATCACCCTGCTTGGTGTTGTCTTCTCAGCTCTGCGTGGGCTGAAGAGTCTTGATTTCGTACTGCACGTTCCCGTGACGAACTTCTAGATAGATCAGATTTACGCTTCTGATGCATTTTAAAGAAGCATAAACTGACACCTAACCTCAAAGATTGAAATAGTCCTCTAAAAATCAATTATATCTTCCCACTAAAATTGTTTATCTATATCGAATCGACTCGGTATCTGAATTTTGGTTGCGCAGAAAACTAAAACTTCAGTGTCATTCGTGGTCAAATCACTGAATACTGAGTAGCAAACAATCTGAATGGTATCTTCCATGCAGTAATGAATTTGCGTCTTCGAAGTGCCCACCTGATGTTAGGTTAGATATGTGTCATTTTCATCATCTAAATAATCCGAGACTTAGTCCCGAAAGACGTATTCTGATGAGAATTAATATCTAAGGTAAAGTCTATCCAAATATTTTGTATACAAGTGTTGAAATAATGGCCTGGTGCGCGTTTCATGAAATTATGGTTGCGCAGTAAACAAACCGGGGAAACGACCATCAATGGTGACGACAGTAAGTGCGACTAATGGATCTTTAGCAATCTACTGTGGTATTGCTTATAAGTGACAGATCAAAATAACATCGAATATAGAAGAATTTTAAATAGTTGAAGCTATGGACAATGAAATATTAGATTGCTAGATCTCAACATTTTTGGACCAACAATCATGTCTGCCAAAATATTTTTTTAACTTCCGTAAAAAATTGTTTTTTCAATAAAAATTATCCTATGCGATGTAAACAAAGTTTCATGATAATGGGTTTAGTAGTTTTGGCGTGAAACCATAACAAACAAACTTTCATTAGCATTTATAATATTAGTAGGGAAAGTAGAGGGATGGTATTTTCGACCTCAATACAAAGTAACAGTTTAAAAAAACGGGGAAAGAAAAACAAGTATCTATCACTTTGGCAATAATAGTCCGTTGGTGAAAGAGGAAGAGAATATGAAAAATAAGACAAGTGTTGTATAATAAGTAATGTATTATCCCCGTGTATAACTGAATGATTGAAAAAGCCTATGGCCATTGGTGAACCACTACACACTGACTAGGGAATTTCACATTTGTTCCACTGAGAATCCAAAGTATAAGGCCTCAAGAACATCAATATACTAATGTTGGAAACTTAGCTGCAATGAAATGACTTACCGGCCAATATCACTTGTCCAGAATTTTTGTCCAAAAAGGCCATAGGGATCATGACATCGGGTTCCGCGGCTTGGGCTGCTTCGTCGACGATGATGTGAGAAAAATGGCCTTTAGGGTAGCCCATCGTGAAAAACTGACCAGTAGAGTTGCATGTGGCCACCGTTATTCGGTGTCTACCCAAAACGGCCCTGTTACATTCTAGATGGAAACAATTTGAGAATTTTGTACGATCGGCATTCAAAGAAACACTTTTGATATACATTTTCAACCTGAACTCATGAGTGAACAGCTAACCTCCTAACCATAACATTATTTCTAACCATCACATGACCGTATTAAATTATATTCGGTTGATGAGTTAGTTTAATGTTTATGAAATTGATCGTTAATGACCCCTAATTATGATCAATTTGTCTATTGATACAAGATTGTTGTGTGGGCAACCAAACATACACCGTGTCCATCCACTGTTAATGCCATAACTTGCGGAATATGCAATTAAATCGGAAGTATGGATTTCATAGAAGATTTTGCGTTATCGGTTTAGCCTTTCCAAGTTTCTGAAAAGATTTTAATCCCTGTTTGCTAACACAAGGAATTTACTTTTTATGTTGATTATTTTGACGAATGTCAAATGTCACTAATGTCATTGACAAGTTGAACAGGTGATTTTTAGTAGTAAGGATGAATGATGAATTCGCGAACCAAGTTTTCTTCATTGCGAGAGGAACGAGAAATATAATCGACGAAAAAATGTTGCAACCAACTCGATTCGCTCGCACGTTAAAGAAAACAATTGTTTATTCTTACCTCTGTAACGGAATTTTTGTAACGTTAAGCTTTAGCATAACAGGTGTGCAATCGACTGAAAATGAGTTGTATAATAGATTCCTACATATACGAAAAATGTCCAGCTTTTACTGTTGATAAAAAAAATTATAGCACGTGGTTGAATTCGAGCGTGCAAGGATATTTCAAATCACTCCCTAATTTCAAGTCATCGCATTTCACTGTAGTAGTTTGAGAAACCAAAAAAAAACACGCTTAAATAAATAGCCAGAGTAAAATTATGACAATAGGTCGCGTGCACGATGACCGACCCTGTAGGTAAAATATTGAAACACAACCTCAATTTTTTATTTGTTTACAGAGAAATCAGAGGATTGAAATAGTTTTTCACGATATTTTGGCATACGATTCGTGTTTTTGGCGCTAGTCATTAATTTAAGCATGCCTTCTCATTGTGCTGTTCTACAATGCACAAAAAATGGCACAAGAGGAAGGAATTTGATTTTTCAGGTAAATAATAATCTCACAGTTTTCATTATGAAATTTTATCATTTCTTATCGAAATTCCTTCTGCCACTTCTGCAATAGAAGCTTATACTACTAATAGATTGAAAGTGTCTACAACACACATGATCATATCTTTATTAGCTCCTATGGCAAAAGGAATTCCGATGAGAAATCAGAAAAATTACCAAATTTCAAAATGAAAACTATATGTGAGTGACTATGTAGGTACTTACTTTCAAATCCTAATGTACCAACCGGGTTCCTTTGTCTCTCGCTGCATTGTTTGTGCATTGTACAATAGCACAATGTGATGGCATGTGCAAATTATTAGTTGCGTTTTATTTATCCGATTTATACTCTCGGTCTCAGAAAAGTTTGTCCAGTCACCACAATCACTGCTCCAAATATGCCTTGATTCATTTTCTACATTCTCAACTCTAGTATATTGATTTTGAAATCATTAGGAGCCCAAATATATAAAATTGACCTCTATCCTCTATATGTCAATTCTCTCATGCAAGGTCAAGAAATTTCTCGTTTAACTTGCAATCATCATTCTGTTCCCACCACCGCTACCAGAATGGAACAAATAAAACAGTACTATTGAATAGCCGAAAAGCACGATTCGTATGCCAAAATAATTGTGAAAGCTTATGTCAATTAATTGTAAACAAATAAGAAAATTGAGGTTGTGTTTCAATATTTCACCTCCAGGGTCTGACAGTTCTTGCACGCAACCCATGCTTTCACTCACCTAACCTGATTCCGTTAGCCCCCATCGTTTCCCCGACAACCGTCCCTTCCTTGGCGGCGCTGCCGGTCGCGCAAAAAGGCACCAACCGCGCGGAAATACCCGAGCTCATCGCGTAATTGTGCGACACCACCCGAACCAAATCGCCGGGCATCAGCACCCCCGAATCCACGAGGCGCAGAGCGATGAGATCTGCGGCGCTGTTCGAAGGCGCTGTCACCAGCAGCCTCGATTGGGGCATCAAGCGAACAATCTGCAGGATTGTCTCGATTATGGTGACGGTTTTGCCGGTGCCCGGAGGGCCAAAAATTATGTACGGCAGCGGTCTGGCTTTGCCTGAAAGTGGAAGAATTAATCTACGTGCAAATTTATGTGGATGTTGTTGAAAGCTTCTAGGAGTTTGTTGTAACCCTCACTATATTGATGTTCAAAATAGAAAACCGATTGTGACATACTGTCAGAGATAAATAAAGTCATGTCTTTCAAGACTTCAATCAGAGATCTCCAATGTTTTAGTTCTAACTAGAAAGTATATACCATTCTCCGTTCACAGAATCATTTTTCAAGAATTGCACCGTTCGATAATTTTGATGCCCGCCGAGAGAAATTTTCCTGTTACCTTGAACGTTTTGAAAACTACTATACAATGAAAGGTGTCAGTGACAAATCAAAAGTTGCTCAGCTTCTGTGTGTTTCGATTGGGTCAACGCATTATAAAAGTTTAGCAGCATTCCTTGGTCCCGTGAAACCGGTGAAACTCATATACGTATTAATAATCAATACGGATAATCTCTATCTGTTTCCATAGCGAAACATGAAGCCGATTTTTGAAGACAAATGACTATCCATAAGGAAATGTTTTGAAACGATCAGACACATACTGCTTTGATTGAAAGGCTAGTAAACGTCATTGTCCACCGAAACGCATGTCTTTGATAACTACTATAATAGCGCATGGCGCATGCGTATCATGCCACCAAATCCTTATGGATATTCATTTGTTTCATATTTTTGGCTTCATCCTGGCACCCGTTATGATCCGTATTGTTTATTAATACGTATATGGTGAAACTATTATCTTATGAAAATCTGGTGAAGGTTTTCAAACAAATACTTATACCAAAGAAAAGTGTTGTTTCCCAACACAATTTTCTGAATGTTTTTCGAAAAGAAAGACAGACGATTGCCGAATACGTTGCAGCTCTTCAACGTGACCTTGTTGCGTGCGAAATTTCAGTCAAATGCGAATGTACGAAATCAGTATCCATTGCCGATGTTTTCCTGAGAGCTCAGTTTCTTCCTGGTTTGCGTGACGACTGGTTGAGAGAACAGGTTTTGCAATCAAATGTAACATCATTCGAAGAAATTTTGTCGAAAGCAACCGCTCTTGGAGTCTGGAAAATAGAGAGTAAGGAGCTGACTCAGCGTTCCAGTTCCAGCTATTCGAATTTCAACATATTATGTGATGTTAATAAAATTTCTAACACCGCATGACATCATTCCAGAAATCGTTCCAGTTGTCGTTCAAACTCCCGATCACATAGTCCAAGTATTCAAAATTCACATTACCGACGACGTCGCCACCTGAAATGATTCTGTGAACTCAGAATGGTTTATACTTTCTTGTTAGAACTAAAACCATTCAAGTCCTGAAGGACATGACTTTATTCACCTTCTGACAGTATGTCAGATTGTCACAATCAGTTTTCTATCTTAACATCGATATTGTGAGGGTTACAACAGAGTTCTAAGTGAAAATTGCTGATAGGGTCTAAGTGTCAATTGTTGAAAGTGTCATTTTTGAGGGTTGCAGAATCTTCTTGATTGTGGTGACCGTTTTGTCAGTACTCGGTGGGCCGTAAATTATGTACGGCAGCGGCCTGGCATTGCCTGGAAGCGGAATTTAGTTGGAAGCGTTGTGCAAAATGGATCTGAATGCGGATATTATAAGAATGTTGTTGAAAGGTTTTAAGTGGCAATTGTTAAAAGGATCTAAGTGCCAATTTTGAAGGTTGTGTCGAAATTGATCTAGTACTTCCGCCAAAATGTATGTAAATGTGTTATTATAGGGGACTGTCACCAGCAGCCTCGATTGGGGCAGGAGACGAACGATAATTGAGCAGGATCGTCTCGATTATGGTGACGGTTTTGCCGGTGCCAGGGGGGCCGAAAATTATATACAGCAGCGGTCTAGCTTTACCTTGAAGCGGAATATAGATGAAGGCGTTGTGCACAATGGGTCTAAGTGTACATATATGGGGGTAATTTTGAACGGTTAAAAGTGACGAATGTTGATTGGATTTGGAGGTTCTTAGTGGCAATTGTTGAAATGTAGAAAGTACCAATTTTGAAGGTAGTGTAGAAAATGATCGAGTACTTCCGCAAAGATGTATATAAGTGTGTTATTACAAGGGGCTGTCACCAGCAGCCTTGATTAGGGTGGAAGGTGAACGATTATGGTGACGGTTTTGCCGGTGTCCAGGAGCCGAAAATTATGTAAAGCAGCGGCCTTGCTTTGCCTGTAATGGGAACATAGTTGTGAAGAATGGATCTAAGTGCAAATTCATGAGTATGTTGTTAAAAGGTTCTGATTTGAAGGGTCTAAGTGCCGATTTTGAAGGTTGTTCCGAAAATGATCGAGTAATGCCACCAAAATGTATGTAAATGTGTTATTATATAGAGGGCTATCACCAGCAGCCTTGATTGGGGTAGGACCAGTGGCCTGGCTTTGCTTGAAAGTGGAATGTAGTTGAAAAATGGTTATAAGTGCAAATTTGTGAGGATGCTGTTGAAAGGTTTTTAATGACAATTATTGAAAGGGTCTATTTTTAAAGGTTGCAGGATTTTCTTGATCAAGGTGAGGGTTTTGCCGGTGCCCGGGGGACCGAAAATTATGTATGGCAGCAGCCTAGCTGGCTTTGCCTGAAAGCAGAGAATGTAGTTGAAGGATTTGTGCAAAATAGATCTAAGTGACAATTGTTGAAAGGGTACAAGTGTCAAATTTTGAAGGATGTGCCTAAAATGTCGAAAATCGAGGCCATAATGTAAGTAATTGGGTATTATTATAAGGGGAACATTTCTATATTTATGATTTTCTGAATATTGAACATCACTAATTATTGTGTATTGAAAATGCATCTTGCCTAAAAGTATATTAACTACAGCATGTTTTTGCCTGGGGTTGAGTCTCTCATTATACCATTCCAATGTCAATACATGTGAATTTTCAGAGGTATCAGAGGTTAATTTCGATTTTTTCTGAAATTCTTGAGCTTTGCTCAATACATGTTGGACTTTTTTTCTGGAATGTCCACTTTTCAGCTGGTGAATATCATAAACAAAGTTTACTTGTGGATCTTTCTCTGAAATTCTTGACGGGAATAAAATTTCTTGTCCCAAATTCCTGACAGCTAGGTATACAGCATGGTGCAGTCTTTTGTATGTGTTTCTACCTGAAAACCAAAGAAAGAATGCAGGAAAAAATATGGGAGATAAGAACATACCTGGTATGACTTTGATAGAATAGTCCTCTCCCTTGTAAGTGTCATGAAACAATTGACCAAACTTTATATAAACATGTTTGGCCCCAACTTTATTCACAAACCCTTCAAAATCCAGCTTGTTCCTATTATCTGGATCTGTTGCAATGATCCGATCTCCTATCACTATAGAAGGCCTACGTTCAGACAAGTTATCTATTTCTAGCATCAAAAATTCTGCATTTGGAATGAAACAGGCTTTTTCTTGGTCATACATCTGAATAGCTATCAAATTGGAAATCTCATCAAGATGTAGTAAGGAGTGGAATTTGTCTTCATAATTTGTGTAAGATAAGTTAGAAACAAGGCATGGTTTTATTACCCTCAGTTGTTCTATGAGATATTCTGGGTTTTTGTTGTCAATTGCTGACACTGTGTCTATGAGTTTACGTGGTACTAAGTAGGTGGGTAGCTGGGCATATGCAAATCTCACTTTAGAGGCTTGTCCCCTTATCAGCTCATTTGTTGAATCCTCATGAAGTCTTTCTCTAGGTTTCTGCTCATACCTGCTCCTTTGGAAGTTATTACCAGTGGAAATGCTGATTTCTATCCACTTGCCTATAGTGAATGTATCAAATCTGAGCAATAAAAATTCTCTAGTGGTTCCAATGTTTTTGGAGGTACATACACATCTTAATTCATGTTTTGTATCACTGAGAATTTCTATAACTGTTTCTGTATGGTCTACAAGTCTACACTGACCTGAAGGATTCAGGAATTGTGCTTCCAGAAGTGTGAATTTATGATCAGATTCATTTGAAAGTGTCACCAGGAATGTTTGAGTCTCATTCAGTCCTTTGAAGACAATACTTACTTGGTTTATAGTCAGACCTGGATGAAATTCTTGAAATTCTGGTAATTTCAACAAGTTCTTAGGTGTATCTCCATGTTTCCTAGCTATTTGTTCAGGTAAAATCTTAACAGCTCTCCAGGTACACCTATTTTGATCACTCTCAATCACTTCTGCTACTACTTTGTCCCCCAAGGCAGGGATATAACCAAGAGAAAGAGCTTGCTTGTTGAAGAATATATTTCTGTCAATGATACCAGTCCAATTGGTGTCATTCCAACTAGATATCTTTCCAGATTCTATGTGTGCACGCACTGGTGAAGCCCTATTCACTTCTATTACTTTACCACTTAGATCCAAACTGTTCTCATTCACTGTACACTTGACATCTAGCTCTAACCAATCACCTAATATAGGCAGAAACTCAATAGATATGTTGTTCAAGTCTATAATAATGTCCCAGGGTGAAAGATGTAATTTTCTATCTACTCTCTTTTCTACTTTGCAAACTAATATCCTGTTGTTCCATAACAAATCTTCATTTTGTTCAATATCCCATTCATTGTCAATGGGTTCAACATTCAGTATTCTGGTAATGCCCTCATTCTGGACAAGGTTGTATGTGACTTTGGTATTGACAATATATGCTTTTTGAACATCCAGGAATGTGTAGAGGTTATCTATGATGTAGTCATTTCCGTCAGCTTTTGTTATGACCCCAGTTTTGCTGGACACCATATTTTTTGAGCTGTTTGTGATAGTAGGAATTTGAGTGCAATTTTGGGCTTCATCTTCCATATGGATGTTTTCCAGGACACTACAAGCGTTTTCGAGAGACAAATCATCGGGACCGCCACTCCTATCAAAGAATGATGTTATGTAGGACCACATATCTGAAATAATGAGAATTATCAGGTCAGAGGACCCTTTTCCTATGTTCGTCAGTTTCTCATGATTTTGGGGGTCCTGGAACTCCTGGATGGAGTGGATAGAACATCTAGGCTTGAGTTCGAATCGTGCTCGTGCATAAAAATACCCCTAGAAAAAAGTTATGCCTTTATAACATTTTTGGAAGAACGAAATTTCATGGAAATTTCTAACTCCAATTCAAATTTTTTAGGTTAGGTTGTCCCTTCATCTTCTTCTTCTTGGTTTAATTTGGTACCTTCTGTGGGCCACTTTTAGTACCTTCTGTGGGGCAACTTTTAGTCTGAGGGGTCCTCATGCCCCTGAGTTTGTAGTTAGGTGAAGAGGTGAAGGTATATGTGCAGGAATGTTAGTAGACAGATAGCACAACAAAGGATAAAATTAGCACCCAGGTATTGAAAAGGTGTAGGAAATCAGGATATATCTGCAAAAGATCATAATTATCTCAATTTCATTATATAACAAATTTTACCAGTAATTTTAAGCTCTGAAATATTCAGGTTCATCAGGACTAATTGCATATTTAGGAGGGGTGGGATTTTAGCTAGCTCTTTTAATGCATACCTACAAATTTTTTATTCTGTTGATAGGGCATTCTTTATTTATCTACCACATTCACTACATAGAAAAAATTGGATTCCTACATAAAATGATACAAATTCAAATCAACTCAACATTATGATTATGATTAGATCCTCTATTCGACCACACTCACACAGTGGATGTTCACGAAATAAAATGCAGTGAAAATTTTGAAGTAGTGGCAACGTCGCATGTCAACGGAAGAAGCTAAACCAGAGATTTCAGTCTAATGATTTTTTGTTTATTTTTGTAGTTTTTTATCTTTTTTGTATTTTGCTAAAAAATATTTGTTCTAAAACACAGTGTTTTTTTATGAAATTGATGATTTCTATATATTTTTTATTTAATTTTCATTTCATGTCACCACCTAGACCATCCTACTTGAAATAATCGTTGATAAGAAGTCATATTTCAAGTCACCCCATATTGGGGTGACTTGACATTTTTTTTTTCGAAAACTACACTATATAGAAACGGTTTTAATGTATCGTTCTGTTCTTTAGGGTCGAAAGAGTTGGTGACTATTTTTAGTTTGGTTGAAAGTTGCATGGTAAGGTCACAATCTATGGAAGTGTGTCAAAAATCTTATCAAGTAACCCCATTCTACGGTACCCCTATTTTGTACATGTGTGCCCGTACCCCTATTTTGTACATGTGTGCACGATAATCTCATGTTGGGTATACCATGATTTGTCAGGGAATTTCCATAAGATTTTGAAGCTCCTGCTCTCTCCAATTTTCGAAGCAAGCTCGGACCAATGAACAGACTTCAATAAAGGTTCAGTTCTACCAACTTTGTAGAAAAATAAGTAAAATAACATATCGCCCCACCTGACGGCAACATTTTGAACATTCCTGGGCGGTTTGTTTTGAAGATTTGACCAATAAGCAAAAACAAAAGTGAACCAATGAAAATAAACATGCCGCAGTTGGTGACTTTTTTAACAGTATTGAGATTCAAAAAATTTTGAACTACTCCATATTCTCCTCTTTAGCAACTTCAGCAACGTTTTTTGACAGGTATTATTAATAAATAAAATTCAGGAAACTTTGTACTAATCACATTTATATTTTTTGACATTTGGAAAATATAAGATTACAAAATATCTGATAAAATTGCCAACCCCCACCCTTTTTGGCAAAAATGGGGAACACAACCAGTCTCACAAAATCTCTGTTAATAGAGAGAAGAGCTACTCTTCCTCTTTTTGAAACTTAATATATCAAATAAATAGAACCCTTTGAAAAAATACAAAATTTCACAATAAAGTACAAAAATAAGAGATTTAATATAAATAGAATTTGAAAAAGAAATGAGTATAAAAACTATTTACAACTCGTCCTTCCTGGCCGCTTCATCATCTTCAGTGACCTCCTCTTCTGGAACCTCGACACCAGCGCCATCTGCTCCACCGGATTCCACAAACTTCGTCAGGCCCTCGAAAGTCCTAGGCCCGTTGTACTCCACCGCCTAAAATAAAAAAATTCCAATAGAATATGAACAAATTCACACTCAGGAATATCCTTCTTTCTGAAGCAGGAAAATCAACTTTGATATTATATTCTGACTTTTGTATACTGAGAATATTTCAATCTGGCCCTGATGCGACATTCCTTTTTGCATAAAAACATCTAAAAATAAACGTGGAATATATTCTGAGACATTACCGATCTCTACCTTTCCCTACTCAACAAAAAGTAGTTCATCTTGTTGCTCATAGATACCGCCCCCCTACTGCTTGGAATTTTTGGCTTCATTGGTCTCATAAGGTTGGATTATTTTGTTAGTTGCAAAGGTGTAATTAAAAGTAAAAAAATATATACTAGGAGATAGCCAAGGAGATAAAAAAAAATGAAATAATAATTAACAAGTTAGTGAAAATGAGGGATTGGGAAAAGTGACAGAAAAACAGAAAATCTTTGAGAATAGATATTTATGGAAGTAGTGAATATATAGTGTGTATTAGAAGGAATTGGTTGTGTGCAAGATCGGTCAGATGTTATGTTATGTTACAAAATATTGCCACAATATTTTGTAGAGCTTTCATCCGTAATATGAAAATACAATATTATATCAATTTTGATTTATGTTTCACTTATAACATTTTGATAATTTTAAATTATACAGTTGGCGAGCTGACAGTGAAAAAACAGACAGTGATTAATGATCACAATCACGAACAACGCCAACAACACACAGAATTTCAAAGTAAATGCTCGATCAAACAAAGCTAAAAAAAAATTAAATGAGAACAACGCCAACAACACACAGAATTTCAAAGTAAATGCTCGATCAAACAAAGCTAAAAAAAAATTAAATGAAATCTTTCGTTGAACATCCTGTCTGCAACTATAACTATTCTATAAGGCATATTGGATTATTTATTTATTTATTTATTTATTTATTTATTCTCATATGAATACATTTACAAAGACATACATATTCTAATATTATAAAAATTCTAAATTTTATCTACTTCACATAGGTTATTGACCTGTGTGTGAATTAGATAATTATTATAAACTTTTTGTAAAAAATTTTCAAGTTCTTAAATCCTAATATTTTGGTCTTTACTATCTGTAGTACATAGATTTCCCATTCTTAGTGAATCACTCTGTATATAAAGTAGGAACATATTCTTTCTGCGTGAAAAAGTAGACTACTTTTTCTAAAAAATCTAACGCCTAATAAACAGGGTGACGGGAGACATTGGAATAAATACAAATATTTCAAACCCTAAATGATTTAGACGAATACTATTGAATGGCACCCTTAAAAAAATATAGGGATTAAATAAAATCCAGGGCAGACGTCACCTCTGTACAAATTTCCGTGTGGATGGAACATTCACGCGGAGTTCAAAAAAAAACTATGTGTATTTTTAATATGTTTGTTCTTTTACTATAGTTTATAATATCAACGTAATTTTTTAATGTTTTTGAGTATATATGTACCATTTGTATCTTTTGACTTGTCTCATGTTGTGTAAATGACCTGAAGAGATTAAACTATCTATCTATCTATCTATCTATCTATCTATCTATCTATCTATCTATCTATCTATCTATCTAAATTGCTTTGAGGTGGCCTATTTGTTTTTTCCTCGATTTTTATTGTATTTTCAAGATCAAATTTTTCGTTAATTAAAAGAATTAGCAAAAATCTGACATTATGGGAATATCCGTTAGCCGTGATTTCATTGATTTGCTGAATATATGAACTAATTTCAAAAACACCTCGTATAGATAAGAAAATGAAAGAAAATATTCTCAATTTTTTTCTCTCCACTACGTATACCTACTATCGATATCGGAATTCGTCATACTTGCTCGGGAATGAATCGGTTGAAAGGATGACGCAACTAATTAGTCATTTGAATGATAAATCAAACCAATCAGCAGTATCGTTCTAGACTTCATCGCGTACAGTGGTCGATTCAAGTGATAATAAAAAAAGAACGCGAAGTATTTACGAGTGGAAAACTGGAATTCATATTCGGCTTAGTGGTTGTATTTTCATTTGAGTGTGTGAAAGTTGTATTTTTTCAAGATGGTAAGTGTTTTTGTATAATTTTGCTTCGGTATCTTTCGATATAGCGATGAAAACATTTTGAAATTCGCTTTATTTACCTATTTATACAGAAGATATAGATGAATATTAATGCAACAAGTTGCGAAAATATTCTAGATGAACATTAATGCAACAATTTGCGAAAATACTCGCCATTTTGTTATGAATAATTAACACAAATATTTCCATATTCCTTATTCATTGAGGATGGAATAATTCGCTTGGTTAACTTATACAAAGGTACTAAAAGTAGGTATTGAAATGAGTTGCAAAAACATTCGCCATTTTGTAGACTTATTTATAAGGTATACGAAACTATTCGAAATTTGGTATACCATTCTTTAACACATGAAATATAATGGCATAGTGAAATTCGAAATGTTGAAAAGAATGTATACTTCGGTACTAGTAGCCATTTATATACAGGGTTGGGCAAAAGTATGGAACCAGGTGAATATTGTTGTAAACCCTCATATAATTATTCAATATTATTTTGTTCGTAGAATTATTGTGGATTTTTTCTCATCATTCGTAGTTGCTTGAAATATAATATAATCAGATATTCTCAGTAGACACTTGAAACTATAATTCTTATCAATCACGTAGCATTGAAAGCTCACGAAACTTCACTTGATACCTTGTGAAATATCCATTTCAAAACTTACTTCGAGTATCTAAGTTCAGTCTCAGCAAAATCAACTTCAGCAGTTTATAATGGAAAGAAGTATAGAGTATATTAAATTGTGCCCTTATAAATTGTATTTTACCTTTCGTTTCTCACGACAGTAGATTATCAAAACTTTCGTCTATAAAATTATATGCCTTCAGGGAAGCCATGTTTTAGTTAGATAGAACGCAACTATTCTTGAGTCAACATTACTAACTTATTTTTTATTGTACTGAGCACTCTGTGATTGTCTTGTGAAATTTACCATCGTCCTCGAAGTGAATAAACGTCTACTGGAAAAGCTACCCACTAGTTATTTTGGTTCACCACCTTTTCAAACCTTCTAAGTGATCACTGTGACCTTTTACAGAACCTTTTCTTCCCATGTACTAAAAGGAAAGATCACAATATCTCGGTAACCGTTTGTTAGATTTTTTGAATATATGTACAGGGTGATTTCAAAACGTGGTGAATTTGAAAAAATTATCGTCGATGTTGCCACTTTTTCAGTTATTCCGGAATTATTATTAACTTTCTTATTTTGAATAGAACACCCTGTATTTTATTGAATTTTCAGATTCTCCCTGAAAAGCTGATTTCATCGATCCATCACACTTGGGGTCTAGCAAGAATGATTACTGAGATATAGAGTGTTCAAAATCGAGATTTTTCAACTTTAGGATTTGTTTTTGTCGAAACTATTCATTATCGGTCAAAACGGCTTTCATGTCCTTATCTCTACTTTTCATTTACTATCTATAGATATTTAATGGGAACAGATACAGGGTGATCACATGTCTGAATCTTGAAAAACCCTGTATTTGTTTCAATTAAATGTCGGTAGATAGTAAATCAAAAGATGACGAAGGGACATGTGAGCTATTTTGACCAATACTGAATAATTTCAACACAAAAAAATCCTAAAGTTGAAAAATCTCGATTCTGAACACCCTATATCTCAGTAATCATTCTTGCTAGACCCCAAGTATGATGAATTCATGAAATCAGCTTTTCAGGGAGAATCTGAAAATTCAATAAAATACAGGATGTTCTATTTGAAATGAGGAAGTAATAATATTTCCGGAATATCTCATAATTGTTACAGCAGCTTGTTGTCTAGTAATTTCGCGAATGACATCTTTATCAAAACTACAAGCCGAAGGCGAGGAAAATTTAATATACAGGGTGATACCTGTTTGAGTAATGACAACCGCGACAATTTTTTCGAATGAAACGTCCTATATATTATTAAGTTTTTGGAATCTTCATGAATTCAAAAATATATTATACATAGGCTTTGTATACAATGCGTCCGTTGAATCAAGTGCCCTCGTGAAGTGGTCGATGAATTCGTTGAAAATTATAGCAATAACTGAAAGAACGTTCGAAGCCGTCGAATTTTATTTTCGTTTGGGCATTCTTTTAAATTGAATAAATATCTACAGCGTGTCTGGAAAGGTCATGAAAATAACGTTAGTACTTCATATAGAAACAAATTCTATCGAATAAATACTGTCTGTAGGTTAATCGAGGAGGTGGTACATTAATTTTACTTGATTCTTTGGGATTTTCTCTCCTCGTTTCTATAAAATAAAAGTATTCATATTATTTCAATATATGTACATATATGAAAAGTGTCAAACTATAAGCAGCACAACTTTCAAAGAAACATATTTTGCATTTACATGTTGAGAACGGGAGCAGAATCGGTCCCGAAACGTCCAAAGATAAGTAAAAATTCGATATTTTTTCTTTCCTTCAAACATTTTTTCAAACAAATTGTCACTGACAAGCTACTGGATTTTTCTTTTAGACTTCCTGATAGAAAAATTTGTTAAACGCAGTGACATTTTGGGGCAAATCATCTGATTTGTCCCTCTACAAATATATTGAAATAATACGAATACTTTCATTTTATAATGTACAAACTTCACAAACGATAAGATTTCCACAAAATTCTTACACACACAACATGTTTCGCTAACATAGTAGCTTCGTCAGGTGATATACTGGTACAATGAACTAAACCAACGTTGGCTTGCTTAACTTTTATATATCCTACTTTCTCAACTTGGAGGATCAATTACCTGTGGACAGGATCGATAAACCTCCATTTTCGGCAACAGGCACAATATCTACATTAAATTACGGTATACCGGATTAACTTGAAAGTCCCGTTTATGTAGAAATGAAGCTAATTTCTCAGTTGATGATCCGAAATAGGTTAAAGTTC